ATTCAAGAAAATACTTATGAATCAATGAGTGAGTCTTCACAAGACTCTGATGATTGTGATTGCATGGGGCCCTACTACTGTGCAATGAAATCAATAAATATGATATCAAAATCTAAACCTAAGTCAATAAATGTTATCACCAAATCAAAAGAATTTTTATTAGATATTATTGACAAAATTCAGGATGAAGATATTAAAAGAGAATATTTATTAAAACTTAAAGAATTAATTTTATCTGAAGGAAAACAAAAAGATGTAGATTCTTACAATTTAAAAGACATATTAAAAAGATTTGACAAACCCACACAAGTAACTCTAAGTGATCTACAAGAAGAAATCAATATTCTGAAAAATCAAATTAAAGAATTACAAAATGATAATATTTGACAGCAAGACAGACTTATATGTTTAAAAGCCTCCAAAGAAATTATAGGATAACACAACCTCAAAATCAGAATTAAAATCATAGAAAGACTGAAGAAACATTTATTAATGAAATCTCTCGAATTCAATTTCAAAAATGGCATATTTACATTAGGATCAATATTAATCAAGAGTTAGATCTTATTACACAAGCTTTAGTAGTACAGGAGCAGATCAAAATTGCATAAGAGAAGGTTAATTCCACAAAATATTATGAAAAAACAAAAGAAAATTATATGGAGCTATATGTCAACAATTAAACATTAATTATAAATTATTTAATGCACATGTATGTATACAAAATTTTGTATTAAAAGTACCTTTTTTTCTGCAAAAGATTTAGATCAAGATGTGATATTAGTAACCCCCTTTATTACTCAAATTTACCCTTTTAATGTAACCAATAAAGGAATTATAACCAATATTTTAGGACAGATGTAATGCTTGAATTCGTAAATCCACCATTAATAAAAGATATTAGTAATTTAAAAAGGTTTCAATATTAAGATAAATACTATTACTAAAGTAGAAAGTCTAGAAATTATCCCTACAAAAGAATACTCGATTACCACAAAATGGGATGCTTGCATTACAAAACTTTTTCCACTTTTTGCATTAAGACTTCAAAAGTTTCAAAATTACGTTTTCAATAAAATGCAAAGTCAAAAAGTTTTTCTAATAGTCTCTCTTATAACAACAACTTTCAGGACATAGAGTTTTTGAGAGAAAGTGAGGAAAAGATGGGCACTCCCATCAAACCCAAAAACAATCCAAAATCAAAACATCGTATGTGATGCTACCACCTCAACAACCTATTACCCCACAAACAAAACCTTCACAATCAAAATCTTCAAACCCATAAACGAAAACCATTATCACTCAACCAAACCGTTCACTTTCTCAGAAAGAAGAATCTGTTTCTTCATCACCCCCAAAAGATCACCAACCACCAAAAAATTATCAACAAGCCCTTACAATACCACCATCTTATTCACCTTCTCCGTCAAAACCTACCAACATTAATCCCACTTTTCAATACATTGAGAAAGATATAACTCAATCAATTTACATTGTTGAACCCGAATATTGGGGACAAACTATGCAAGAAACCTTATCAAAAAAATTTTGTCCAAATTTTTATTTTATTCCTGATGATTTATTAAAAACAAGAACATTTTATGAATTTATTTTAGTTGATACTGATTTAGTAGAAATTACCATAATCCAAGTAGAAATAATCCAAATAGAATTGCTTTTTCAAAATGCAAAATCAAAAGGGTCTTGAGACCTCAAGATTGGTGCATTGGAATTTATAAAAAAAGTCCATTTTCTCAAAACTTTATTCCCCAAGAATTCTCTTATAAAGATTATCAAAAAGCCTGGTTTCATGCTTTCTGTCTAACACATACAACATACTCTTGGTTTTTTATCTTTGACAAAACTTGTCCAAAAACTTTTCCAAAATGGTTTCAACAATGGTTTAATTTTTTCGGTTTAAATGAACAAATCCTCCCACCTTCGGTTTGGGAAGGATATCAATTATTTGCCAAAAATTTCAACAACAGTGAAGATCATTTACTTGCATTTTCTAATAATTTCTTACTTGCCTGGATAATGAGTTGGCAATTTCATATCACTACAACTCCTCCTCCAAAGTTCAGATAATTACAAAGAAAATTTCTTATTATATATATTATTATTATTGTCTACGTATATATTTTGTTATTAAATTGGTCATGCTATATATCACTTTATTATACAATATGTTATGTTCATCAATTTACCACACTATATTTATTATTTATTAATTGAAATGATATCTCATAATATTTAATTATTGATTACATTTAAAAAAATATAAAGTTATTATGTTATTAAATTTGTCGTGCTATGTATCATAATAATTTATTATTTTTTAATTAAAATGTTATATACTTATATATTTAATTATTGATGACATTTGAAAAAAGAAAATCCAAACATATTGTATATACAGGAAAAACTAAAGCATTATAATATTTTATTATTGATTACCATTAATCAAAATTCATCCAAACTAAACCAAACATAATATTAAAAAAAATGAAAAAAATATAAATGTTTATAATAATATATACCATGTTTTTCGAACATGAACGAACAAATAATCGAACAGATTGTTCGTGAATGGATGGATCAGTTGAACGTTGTATGTTCACGAACATAATCGAACGAACATCTTATGTTCGAACTTGAATCTAACATATTATCAAACGAACATCGAACTGTTCACGAACAATTTGTTATCGAGTCGAATCGAACAGTTATTGAACGAACATCAAGCTATTCGCGAACAGCTCGGGGTGGTATATGAATTCCCAAAGACCAAAATTTTTTATTTTTCATTAAAGCAAATAATTAAAATTTTTAAAACTCTTTTTTTTTTTAATTACCATAAAAAAAATTCTTTTATTATATTTTTTTATTCAACTAAGCATTACTTTATTAATTCTGTGATGAAATTATGAAAATATACTATAATATGAATATATGATTAGGTGTGCCGATGAAATGTAAATATTGTTGGGGATTGACTAATACACTTTGGTATTAAATTACCCATTTTAAAGTGCAGCAAAAATATTACCAAGTTGTTTAAGAGATTTTCAATTTTTAACCATATCAAACACAAGTGTGAAAAGTAAAGAACACAGTCATTTACATGGTTTGGCTAAATCTACTTTTAGCCTACATCCATGAGACCTTATCCAGATCGAAGCAATCCACTAAGTTAAAAACATATTACAAGACATAGTTCAAAGCTGATCTAAGTTACAACAACTCACTGTTCAACTTTACACTTAGCACCACACTATGAATCCTTAACATGTAGCAACTCCTTGGAGCTTCCTCTCGCTAGAAACACACCCAAGAATAGCTTGTACACCACCAAGCTTCAAGCACCGACGCCACACACCAGCATCAGCAAAGGAACCACGTTACAACCGCCATGCAACAAGTAAGATAAACAAGAAAGTTTCTAGCACCAACCCATATAAAAGAACCTAACCAAGAACAACTCTCTGAAAAGTTCAGAGCACCAACGAAATAGATATTCAGGTTCAAAAAGAAAAACAAACAAGGAAGAAGATAAACTTTCTTTCATCTCAACAAAGATGAAGGATGGTAAGTGTTTAGCACAATAACATATGGGGAACCTTTAAGGAAAAAACTCTCTGAAAGTTTCAAAGCACAAGGCAAAAACAAACATAAAGGTTAGTTCACAAATGAGCAAGGATGAAAAAGATATAGACCGATTTCGTGCTCCCCAATTCTTGCCAAGTCAGCAAATAATGGCTGACATATATTGGTCCAAAAATGAAAAAGATTTCATCTATCTTTTGGGACCACAACCAAAAAGAAGAAAAGACTGATTTTCCCTAGACCACTAAAGGGTATTGGGACACCTATAAGTTGTCCTCATGACAACACAAAAGATACAAAGAAAATACCTCAACTGATAAAGATAAAAACGCAACTTATGAAAAAATGAGTCAGACATGCGATGTTAGCACAATAGAAAGGTGTGTACACACACGAAGTAAAATGCGAAATGAAATACGGCATGCATATGTCTGACATAAGTATGCAAGCACACATCCACCGTGAACACACATGAAATGAAAATGTAAAAGGCATAAGCCTGATAGTTGAACACGTGGAGGACAAAAAGAATTCCAACTATTTGTTGGACCACAAATATATTTTTTCTCTTTCTTGCGAGACCACAAACAAAGCCTTACAATCTTTTAGGACTACATAAGAAAATTATGACACATGTAAAGGTAGGTCACACAAGAATATCATGAATCAAAATAAACTTGATGGGCAAACAACAAAGAGAAAATGTCACTTGGCAAAATGTGTCACCGTAACATAAGTTTGAGAAAAATATTAACAAATATGAATTAAATTATTAAAAAAGTAATAGATTTTGGATTATTATGAAATTATGACGTGCAAATTTTATATAAATATGTTCCAGGAAACAAATTGAAGACCAGGGAATTTGGTTAATAAGGCAAGCTAGAACAGTTGTGGAGTGTCGGATGGGTTCCACGCAGGAACATTTTGGTGGTTTGGTTCCTGAAATTGCCGAAGATTTTACTCAAGTGAGGTTTATAATTAGAAATTACAACGAAGTAAATATTGGTTGCTGTGAGTTCAAGCATACACGAATTTTGCTTTGGGTTTTACGTAAGTATTTTTCATTCAAAACATGTCTACTTAGTTAAGAGGACTTCAAACCTTATAAACTAAATCTCTAGTCATTTGTTGGATATTTTATTACTGTATTTAAATCTACGATGGGTGATCCGAGAAAAGTTGTTTGTCTTTAAGACACAAATTGATTGACATACCAATAACAACTTGAACTTAAAGCTACGTCGCCTTAATTTCTCCTTATATGTTCAATTAAACTCATTTTAAGATTATATATATATTTTTTTTCTTAATCAATTCTGAAACATACCATCTATGATTATTGATCTTTTCGTGTTGGTTGCTTTGTGACACAGCTTACTGGAAAGACACCAATGGTGTACCTGAATAATATTGTGAAGGGATGTGTTGCGAAAATTGCAGCCAAGCTTGAGAACATGGAGCCATGTCATAGTGTCAAGGACAGGTATGCAAGATAATAATATTGCAAGTCTAATGATTTAAGAAACTAGGGTTTGTACAGTGTTAAACTCTCATGCTAAAGTTGTAAGGCTCTTGCATAAAGTTCTACTCATATATTTGGCATCCGCAATAGAAAAGTTCTCCCGACGCATGGATTAAACAGGCCATTCAGTCCACTGCGAGAGTTGCGCGGCATTAAGAAACTAAGTTACAATACAAATTGCATCGTAACTTCAAAAAATGGCGAATATATATGGACTGCCAACGCAGTTGACTTCCGGCGTCTGTTTGTTCAAAAGAACCATGCATGTTCTTCATTTGTTTATGTAAATTGGCATCCCAAGTTCTATCTTACAATCTCTTGGCAATCTCTAAACCTTTTCTGAGCTTGAATTGATCAGGATAGCTTATAGTATGATCACCGACGCAGAGCGAAGAGGGCTTATAACTCCTGGAAAGGTATACAAGTTACGGTAGCACTAGAAAGAGGCCTTTTGATCTGTTGTTTAAAAATCTACTTATTATTATTATTTTAATCTTCTTTTAGACCATTCTTGTGGAAGGCACTAGTGGAAACACAGGCATTGGCCTAGCTCTCATTGCAACTTTAAAAGGATACAGGCTTATCCTGGCAATGCCAGCTTCAATGAGCACGGAAAGAAGGGCTATTCTGAAAGCATTTAGAGCTGAACTTGTATTGACTGATCCTACAAAATCAATATTGGGGTCAAGAATGAAAGCTGAGGAGATTTCGAAAACAATTCCCAATGCACACTTGCTTAATCAATCAGCAAATACTGCCAATCCTAAGGTTAATTAATTTGTGTACCATCTCATATTGTATACATTTACATCAATTTTCTCAGGTTCAGACCAAAAATGCGACCAACAGCTAGCTAATATTTAGGGACATGCTTAGGATTTAATGTAAGAGGGGACAAATTCAAAATAAATAACCCCAAGGGGTTAGCTTGGTGATAAAGAAGATTTACTCTATTTATTGACTTCATACCACATATTTATAGCTTAGCTTGGAACATTAGACTTGTAGGATATTCAATAGATTTCGGAGATTAGTTAAAGTGTCCGTAAACTGGCCCAGACACTTTGGTCATCAAAAAAATAAAAAAAAATACTATAATTTATGATATTAAATAATGTTAGAGAGGGCAAGACTACTTAGCTTTTTCAGATTTTACTCTTTAGTTGACACCTTATTAATTAGATTTTACTCTTTAGTTGACACCTTATTAATTAAAGAATAAATTTCATACGTCTGTTTAAATATGTATAGTTTTGCCCATTTTATGACGTAGACGTTCATATTAAAGAATAAATTTTATACGTATGTATAAAACTATATAGTATACGAGAGTTTATCATAAATATATGATGAATTCAATGCATGTAGATACACCACGAGACAACCGGTCCAGAAATTTGGGAGGACACCTGAGAGAAAGTGGATATATTTGTTGCAGGGATCGGAACTGGTGGAACAATATCTGGAGCTGGTCGATATCTTATGGAGAAAAATCCTAATATAAAGGTAAATAATATTCTTTTAATTTGGATCTATCTATCAACTTACCTGAGCTTTGAAGAATTTTGTGATATGTGCACATGTATCATTAAAATTATTTTTCTTTAACTACCGATAAAAAGCTTGTATTTAAAGTTTGTAAAAGCTCAAGTCAAGAGAAGATTAAATATTTTTTTGTACATTTATTATATTCTTGATGCGTTTAAGTTTCTTTGATTAATTTTCTCTCACAAATTAAGCAGGTTCATCAAAAACTTTTTAATATTCAAATTTCTTTTAAAGTACGTATTTCTCTAAAAAAAACCAGTATTTTGAAACTCGACCCAATCTAACTGGTTCTACCGATCGAATCGAGAACCAGGAGCTTAGCTGGGCAGGTCACACTAGAAAACCAATTGTAGCAGCTAACCCACTTTGATCCGCGATTGGATCAGCACAACAGTAGCGAACCCCCAATCCAACCGGCCCAATGATAAAACCGAGTTACCAAAAATCAGCGATTTTGGCAGCTTCCTCCCTAATTTTGGCAGATTCCAATGTTAACCACCCCACCTAACACGACCATTAGCATCACTTTTATTTCTACATCAAAACCCCCATCATCTTGAAGTCTGATTGGACATTGATCATTGTCGTTGCCACCTGTTTGTTTCGCAAAAACTGACAACTTCCTTCCTGATTCCAACAAATTATGACGCCAACCACCCCAACTGACACCACCATCAGCATCCCTTCATCTCACATCAAAAGCCCATCATCCCGAACTCCAATTGGTCACCAATCATCATCGCCATCACCTGGCTACTTCACAGTTTCCTGTTGAGATTGCAAGAGTGTATTTTTTTGGATTTCAAACCTATAAGGATGGATGGGTAATTTTGTAAGGGTGTGTTTGCTAGATTTCAAAGATATTGGACATGCTAACGTCACTAGTCTAATCGACCAGTCTGACTGACCAATCCAACCAATCGGACAAGTCAAGCGGTTTGGGTTTCAGAACATTGAAAACAACCATAGGAGAGATTGTCATTAATTTATTTATTTTTTTCATAATATTGGTGGCATGAAAGGAAAAGTAATTAATTCTCATTTAAGCTTATTCTCTCATGAACAGGTTATTGGAGTAAAGCCCTTGTAAAGCAACATACTTTCATGTGGAAAACCTAGTGAGAATGAGATCATAAATAATTTTTCTAGACATTAATTGTTTAGGGTGCTCTCTTTCTTTAAAGGTCATAGAAATTTATGTAGTGATTTGTGTTTAATTAATTATATTTGTTATGCCTAAAAAATCAAAGCTGACGTGAGCTTACGTCAGCCAGCGCCAATCAGAGTTTAGGAAGGCTTTGTGCCGTCCAAGAGTTGCCACGTCGTCAAAAGACAGAAAGAGTATAGCTATCATCAACTTGGCAAACTCAGGCGTTGTCTACCAGTGGATAAGAGTCACCCACCTGTCCAAGCCCTATGCGATTTGAGGATATCTATCGCATAATCAGCCAATGGGAAGTGCGGTAGGAATTATACTATACATGCCTGCTTGCAGACTTGTAATCATTACCCTGAAACCTTCCACTATAAATAGAGGGATCCCCTCTCATTTTCAAGATTCTGATAAGAAACCCACATTCTGATTGTAACCTTTTACTCTTAAAACACAAACAACCTATGAGAAAGAGATTGACTTGATATTCTCTCTGAATAATCAGTCACTTGTACCTCTGCTAGCTATCCGCTTTATGCGACCTCTTGTAACCTTATAAATATAAAAAGAATAGTGGACGTAGGATTCACTTTAAGCTTCCGAACCACTTTAAAAATCATCTTCCATGTACTTCATTGCATTTTCCATTCATGTGTAATTTCTAAACCAATTTAGCACTTTACACGTGCGAATCATTGATGTCAAAATCAAGCTCATAGCTCGATCCAGCTATGATGAGTTACTTGGAGAGGTTCAATAATACTCTTGAAATGGTCAGCCGAAGGCTAGACCGTTTGGATCAGGTCATACCGCTGGATTTTGATAAGGTGGTGTCGTTGCCAAAGACGCATGTAGGTCACGCTAAAGCACAAAAACAGGCAAAACCCATGCTACGCACACTACAACATGTAAAGACAATGGAAAGTAGGTGGCGGATAATGGGCTAAAGGGCTCCAAGGGACCAGCGAATGTTGGTCGTGAAGCAGGAAGAATACCTATAGCTTTACGACTTAGTGATATGCTATATCATGAGCGTCCCATGCCACATCGCATAGGCAGCCCCGGAAGAGTGCAAGACAGGGAGATTCCCTTCGTCATCGCGAAGCAAATGCCCACCATACACGGGTCAATTCTAACCACTGTGGAGGTCGGGATAGCTTACCTAGCCATTCAATGCCTACACATAGCTCCAGCCAGCGTGTGTCAAGGCATGCCGAAGGCTCTAGCCGAATTAAGAAAGAGTTCGACCTGCAGTCTTTCCTCTCAACTGCAATTGTCCGAACCCATATTGCGGAAAGCGATCCCCAGATAGCTCCGCTTCCTCAGATTGAAGAGTTACAGTGAGCTCAGGATTAGCTTAGAGATTAGCAAAACGAGCGTTGGCAAACCACTAAAGTGTCCCCCTTTTCTCCAACAATTTTAACTACTCCTCTCCTGTCAAGGTTTAGAATGCCTGATATACAAGCATTCGACGAGAATTCTAATATGCAGGATCACCTTTATGAGTTTAACGACCTCATGGAGCTTTACCAAGTTTCCAGCTTGGCCACTCTAACAACCCATGCCAAACGTTGGTTTAGATCGCGCCCGCCAAGATCTATCAACTCGTAGCAGCAGATGAGTTCGTTATTCTTGAGACACTTCCAAGCTAATAGAAAATTCTCAATACTGATGAGCTATCTGAACAACATACGACAGGAGAGAAATGAGTCCCTCCAATCCTATATTTATAGGTTTCACAAGAAGCTGCACAAGGTGGCTAATACACCCAAAGAGTCAGTTCAGACTCTCATTATTGCAAGGGTTCATCTGCAAACTGACCTGTGGAAAAAGTTGCAATCTAAGGATGACATTTCCCTCACCCGCTTTTATAATCTTACTAAGAAGTACCCCTTATCGAGAATTTTGTGGCTGCTCTAAATCACCACGACCCCGATCCTTCGACCAGTGCCCTTAATCGGGGGGGGGGGGGGGGGGGGGGGGGGGGGGGGGGGGGGGTGGGGGAAGAGAGAAGGCCGAGGGGAGAATAGTATGAGAGTTGATCATAGATAGGCCAATGACGATTGGTGAAAAGGAAAGAAGCAGCGGTTTAAGTCCAAGAAATCTTATGCCCAGGTTCCTCGTTGCGATCGCGACAAGATTCAGTATACTACATTGAATGCATTGGTGTCAGCTATTCTAGACAAGTCAGAAGAAGTTAGTCTGCTCGGGGAGCTAGAGCCCATGAATAATCCCCTTATGGCAAGAAACAGTAAGAAATATTACCATTATCATTGGGATAACGGGCAACATACCGACAAGTGTCGAGCTCTTACTTCAATGAGTATGTTGATGGTCTAACTCCCGTTCGAGAAAAGGATCAAGGGGATGAAGGCAAAAAGTGCCATGGTCGCAAAGGTCTCTATCTCGTTGGGATCATATTTGGAGGACTACACCTCGCAGGGAATTTTTAAGGTGCTCAAGAAAGGTACACTGGGGAAGCTCATCATGACCTTATTAGTGTGATGAGCACGGCGCTGTAACCTGCTAAGGTGTGTAGAAAGGAAGAGATTACCTTCTCAGAGAAAGATACAGTGCGATTGCATCATTCCCATAAGTATGCACTTGTTATTGCACCTGAAATAGGTCAGTGCGAAATCCACAGGATGCTGGTGGATAATGGTAGCACTATGAATATTCTATTTCAATAAGCTTTTGAGGAAATGCAACTGGACGAGGCAGATTTGAAACATGCCTCTATCCTTCTCTATGGTTTTACGGGGGACCACTTGATTCCCAAGGGAACGATTGCATTCCAGCGATTGCATTCCCTATCACCTTGGGTGATACCTATGAGGTGACCAAGATGACAGAGTTTTTAATAGTAGACTGTCCGTCCGCTTTCAATAGCATTTTGAGATGACCTCTACTACGAAACTTCAAAGCCGTCACCTCCATCTATCATTTGAAGATGAAGTTTCCCACCCTGACAGGGTGTGGAGAAGTCAAAGAATCCTAGAGTGAATCTCACAACTGCTATGTAAGGGTAGTACAGATGGCATGCAAAGGGAAATGGCGTTCCCGAGCAGGCTATAGTGATCAGCAAGATTGAACCACAACTGGGTCCAGTAGAAGACAGTATAGATCCTCGTATTCAAGAGGAGTATTCCTATAGTGGACCTGTTGAGACTCCATCTAAGGTATCAATTGACCAAAATGAACTGACTCAGGTGTTGAGGATCGGAAGCAATCTTAGCCCCCAGCTTGCTGCCAACCTAATAAGCTTCCTCAAAAAGAATACTAATGTTTCTGCATGGACTCATGTTGACATGGTCGGGATCAGCCCAAATTTAATATGTCATACACTTAACATCGACAGCGCAATCAAGCCAGTTCGCCAAAAGAGAAGAGCCATAGACCCAGAGCGTTATGCTGCTCTAAAAGTTGAGGTGGATAAGCTTCCCTCCAACGGGTTCATTCGAGAGGCTCATTACTCGAGTTGGGTCACCAATCACATTTTGGTGAAGAAACCCAACGACAAGTGGCAAACTTGCATTGATTTCTTTGATCTTAACAAAGCTTGTCCGAATGACAGTTTCCTTTTACCCAGAATCGATCAGCTTGTCGATGCCACCTCTAGGCAAAAACTATTAAACTTTATGGATGTCTATTCAAGATATAATCAGATCCCGATATACACGCTTGATGAAGAACATACCTCATTCATTACAGA